CTGGGCTGGGGGGAGGGGTCCCTGCCCAGGGCAGGGGCGTTGGAACTCAATGATCTTTAAGGTCCCTTCCAACCCAAACCATTCTGTGACTCTGTGACCTCAACCATCCCCTGGAAGCCCAGCCTGCAGCATGCTCCTGCAGAGCCTGCCCCACCAGCACGGCACAGGGGTGCTCCAAGCTCGTGTCCCCATCGCATTTAATGGGAAGGGTTAGGGAGTGCTGGCGCCTGCAGATGCTGGTTCATGAAACATTGCCTTTCCAGACAGGCTTTGCAAAAGAAATGAGATGTTAGTGACTGTATGGAAAGCTCAAGGGATGCTGGGTTGCTTTCTCTGGTGCAAAAGGTGATCCTTGGTCGGGGCCAGCGGCGAGCCTGCAGTGGAGCAGGCGTTGCCTAACAGCTCCTGTGCCGTACAGACCCCAAACGCTGGACACCCCGCATGCACCGAGCTTGTGCTTGACCCCCTGTCTGGGTTTCTCAGACTCTTTCCTACTCCATTGTTTCCTGTTGGGTTCCCACATGCTCCTGACCCGGCGCTGCCGTGGTGTGCTGACGCACGGCTGGGATGTGTGCTCTGGCCTGTGGTTCCCCCACAGTAGCACGTTCGGTTCCGTGGGGAGCAGCCAGGCGGGATGGGGGGCTGCAGGCATTTGTGTACATGAGGCTGCGGGTGGGAGCCCTCCCCGGCACGCTCTGTCAGCTGCTGGCGGGGGGCGCGGGGTGGGAACACGTGTGCTTTCCTTGTGCCACTGCACGCGCTCTCCCCGCGCTCACTAATAAATCTGCGCTGGTTGGTCCCAGAAGGCTGCGGAACCAGTTTGTTGGAAGAGCAGAGGAGATCGCTATGGGGCATCGCTGAGTGGTTTGGATTTTTCCCTTTTTCGTGTCGCACCGGCCAGGAGGGCGGCTCTGGTGTTTCTTTAACCGCAGCTGAAAAGCTGCTGTTCCAGCACGGTGGTGTTTGTCTCCAAAAGGAGGTGGTTTAGGTTTCACCGGCCCCACCTGATGGGAATTCGAGTAGGCACTAAAACTAGGGCTTCTTGTGCCTTGGCTTCTTGTGCCTTGGTTATCAGCGTTATCTGCTCTGCTGCAGCGGCCGTGGGGAGTGGGGGAGCCCGGTGCCGTGCTGGGGGCGGCGCGAGCCCCCGGGATCTGCTTCAGGCAGCCCCCAGCTCCCAGGGCTGAGTCACCACTGGGCCGAGTGCGTCTGCTGCTGGTGTGACGGCAGCTGTAAGACCCAAAAAAAACCCAGCACCGATGCTTTTAATGACAGGCGAATAACACGGCCCCGAAGAAGATTCATACCGTGCATACCTCATGCGATGGCTATTAGCGGTGACTAAGACCGTGCCGGGATGGAGCAGTGACAGCCTCCCCGCATTGCCTGAGTCCGGGCGTAATTAATTCTGCAGGTACTTGTATCGGCACATTAACCCAAACTGGCCATCTTCCTGACTGTCCCCAGCCTTGTTCCATATTTAATCTTTCATGTTCACCTGAGTCTCTAATTAAGCCAACTGCAATCCTTAGCTGAGAGCCCGCAGTGTACTAACGAGGACTGGCGTTCCCGGAGCGCGTTGTATGTAAGACCTGCACAGCAGCCCGCCAAAAACAACCTCCGGGCTGACTTTTTTCCTTTGTTTTCTCTTTCTCTTTTTTCTACACCCCTCCCACCCCCCACAACCTGGCCCACAATCCCAAAAAAAAACCTTTTTTTTTTTTACAGCAAAGTCATGACCAGTTAGTTTGAGGTATCTGAAAAGAGCTTTTATTGGGTTTCCTTTCACTGGCAGCTGGTGTCTGGGTGAGGGGGAGCAGCACGGAAACCCAACGTGCAGCTTCCCGAGCATCATCCCGAGCAGCCGGCGGAGGAGCCGGCGTGCAGCAGGGCAGGAGCAGCCACTGTCCTGCCTGTGACGTCCTGCCTGGCTGCCTTCCTATTCCAGCGTCCCGGTTAAAAATAAAACCACACGCCAAGGCAGTGAATGGGGTTCTGATTTCCCTGGGTTGCTGCGCAGGTCTGGGTGATGGGGAGAGCTGCGCGTTGTAAATAGAACAGCATATCCATGGCAACCCCAACTTTTCATTATTGTTAATTACTTGCACAGTGCCAGAGCCGCGCATGGCGCTTCCCGGTGTGGATAAAGATAGATCCCCCCTTTCAAAGCCTCTCCAAACGACAGCTCACTCTGGGAGGCTGGAGTGGGTCTGGCAGGCAGCGACGGAGACATTTTGTGAGGAGTCGGAGAAGAGCCGGGATTTAAAGGAGGAGGGACCGGCATGGCAGAGAGGCAGCCGCGAGCTCGGCGGGGGCTTTTGTCCCCAAAACCACCTTCCCTGTGTGTCAGAAAATGGTTCAGAGGGGCCATAGCAGCACAAGTCCAGCTGGGAGGACGGGGAGAAGTGGTGGGGAGAGGGGTTGCCCTGTGCCCGAGCTCCGTCTTTTCTTTCATCTCTGTTTAATGGTGCTGGAGAGAGCGCGGAGGGCAGAAAGCGCCGGCAGCAATTGTCACTGAAGAGACAGGGATCTGTTGGCCTTGGCTTGAGCCCTTGAGCCCTGGAGGAGCCTCCTGCAGAAAGCCTGCCCTGTTCTGAAGCTAGCGCAGCCGAGCTCAGCCTGGGTGGGGTTTGCGTGTCCATCCGTTGGGTTTTATTTCGCTGGAAGTGGTTGGGAAGCTCTTGGGTGAAGAGGTGCCTGTCCTGCCTCCCCCCTGTCAGCCAGCCTGTCCCCAGCCGGTGCTACAAGCAGTGAAGATTTGTACCCAAAATCCTGCCGTCAGTGCGTCTCCGGTGACCGATCGCTCGTTCGGATGGTGGGTGTGAGCAGCGGCGGGATGGCTGTGCCTCGGTGGGGTGGCCGTGGCCATGACACTGGCCACCGCTGTGTGCTGCCCCCGGTCCCCAGCTCAGTCCCGAGCCTGGCGCAGGCACAGACGGAGCTTTTGAACCCAACAGCCTTTTCCTGACGTGACTTCTCTGGGTCACTTTCAGTACGTTGTGTCAGAGCCTGGCAATTAAAGGTAAGAGGAGCAGCACAGAGGCGCTGACCCTGGCACAGGCGCGCTGGAAGCCTCTTGCCTTCCCTGCTTGGGAGAAGATGCCCTGTGAAAAGGGGAAATCCTCTTGTTTGTGTACTTCGATGCTATTCAAGGCCAACATCCCAGCGCCGCTTCCCCACTGCCTTGCGCTCTCCTGCTTACCTTGGAAAAGTCTCTGTTCTGGTTCCCCTCTTGGCTGGCTAAAGGATCGCAGTTCTTGCCTTTCCAGAGATCTTTTCTCCCCGATGTTTTCCAGATGGCCAAATTATTTAGCACTGCCCAGAGCACAGGGCTCAGGAACAGCTCAGGTTTGGGCAGTTCCGTGTTTGGACAAAGCAGGTCACATTCATGGTCCTGTTCAGGTCCCTTTGGGGCAAAGGGACGTCACTGAAGTTTGCTGGGTGGGGGATGTCCTTGCTCTCAGGATGGTGACAGCAGGTACCAGTGTATTTGGCTCACCTACTGCTTCTTGGTATGTGCCACGGCATAGGAGACTGGGCAAGAGGAAAGGTAGTTTGGCTGTTCCTTTAATGTTAAAAGACAACTGGGGAAAACATTCCCAAGGACTTACAGCTCACTTTGTCCCTTCTCTTGGCATTCCCCGTCTACAGAGTCTCAACTTCTACAGACTTTAATCTTCAACAGGTAATTTATTACTGCTGCTTTTCTTTAAACAGTACTATTCTCTAGGTAGTTTAGTGGTTGTATCCATACAGCCACCATTGGGCATATACCTCTTCCCTCTCACGGTGAGAAGCTGATGGGTACAGATACAGGCAACTGCACGACCTTTACGGTCTCACTCGGAGTTCAGGAGCACGGAGGTAAGATTGTTTCGAGTCATTTTGATTTTTATTACAAACCAAAACACTTCACATTCAATGGCACCTCGGGTACAGGGGATAGTTACTCTCGGGGGAAAAAAAACCAACCCAAAACCTAAACACCTTAAACAGGTACCAGCGTAGTTCTAGCTCAGTTAGGCTTTTCCACATGAGATCCCAAACTTGGCAGCACCCAACACCCCACCTGCTTTGGCTGTTAGGTGACTTACGGGGTGTTATTTCAGCTTTGTACGTTAGCAAGGGAAGCTGTTTGATCAGGAGTTTACTGTCTGGCGAACCACGCCGAGCTGCATCTGAACAGAACCATCTTCACCATCCAGCTGTGTTTTCAAACACACACATGCTTTGTCCTGCAGTCGTACAATGGCTCACCCGGTGTGACAGGGTGGTGTGGGTGTGTAGGAACTCGTTGCCCCTCGTCACTGCTTTGTTGGTCGGCCGGGCAAGTCGCTGTTGATGCGGGAAGCGGCGCGAGGGCGGCCCCACGAACAGGAGGGCGGGAAGGGCTGGTGCGGGCTCGGGGCAGTTCGTCCTGCTCTTCGCTTGTCATCTTTTGTGAGAGAACGTCAGGGTGCTGAGCGTCTTTTTATTTACGTTCCGAAAGGTGGCTCTGGTTGTGACATTGAGCCTTTCCAACGAGCCGCAGCAACGATGACTGAAACCGAGGGATTATATATAACTCGACAATCCCAAATCAAGTAGCGAGCAGATGAAGCTTATTGGTTTGTACGGTGCGTTCGTGCTGTGATATGTGCTAATATCACATAAAAGTAACAACTGTTGAGGAGCTTCCCTGCCACGTCCTTTCCCATCCTTTATCACAATTAAGTTAAAAAGACTGGACCACTGCAAGCTCTATTTTTATACCCTCGGGCATGCGCTATCTCCTTTGAAAGCTGCCACCGTTTTAGGAAGGAGTACAAGAAGGGAGGGAACTGCATTTCTATACCCCTGTACTCTCACAAAGGGAAAGTGTGACTCTCATTATGTGCTGCTCTTCTGCCCTTATTCTGGGTCACTCTCAGCATAAAAGTACCGTGATTCTCTTTTTAGTTACAAGAGGTGTTAGAAATGAATGCCCATTCACACTTAAGATGAGCTTATATGGCATATGACTCTCCAGCGCTACGTGGCAGCGTAATTCTGACAGCAGCAGTGTTAAACAGCAGAATCAAAAGGAAACCAGACAAAGAAACGTCAGTATTCATACAATTTAACAAAGCTCCCTACTTGTTTTTACAAAAAAAAAGCCCCCAAAGGTTTTAAACAAAAGGAAATGTCCTTCATTCCACACTGTTAAAATCTTTCTGCGTTGTCAGAGTGACTTCAAAGCTTCTCCACATCTGCCTGCTCCAGCCGAAGCGCTGGTGTCTGTCCTCAGGCTTTTGTGATGTACCCTTCTCTGATAAGGAAGTCATAGATTTTCCTGGTTTTGTTCACATCGATCTTGATGAGCGCTCTAGCCTGCGCCAGTCTCAGGCCTCCTTGTTTGTTGCACTCATTCACTAAAGCAGCTTTATATTCCAAATAGGCTCCGGGGACCAACCTCACCATCTGACAGAGCTGGAAGACAAAAGGTGAAGTTAATAAACGCTAACACTTGTCACGCTCTTTCATTCTGTGATCCCCGTTGGGGGAGGAACATTGCGAGTATTTTTCTGAAAACATTTTAAGTGTCTTTTTTTGTACGGGGGAGGCACGCAGTAATCGCATTATGAGCTGTTTCGATCCACAGGTAGGGAGGGGAGGAGCTTGAGCTTGCTGGCTGCTGCATTCAAAAACATTCCTGACTGAAAAATAAACTAGGAGGATGAAAGCAGGCGCTCGGCTCACAGGAGCGTAACTATGAGTGTGTCCTGTGTGGGCGGTGTTCTTTACAAACCAAGGGAAGTACACATGCCAAAGAGACTTGCAACCGGCAATTCAGCCTGCTGGACGGGAGCCAGGGAGGGCATCTGTCTATTAATCCCCTGCAGACTAAGTCTTTAATACCTTTCTACAAAAGCAGCTATGCACACAACGCCTGCCCCCTCCGGAAGCCTCGGATGGAAACCGTGCAGGGAGGGCATGACGTGGTTGGGAGTCTGGTAAAAGGAATTGCTTTCGAAAGCCCCCGTGCTCTGCTGTTGGGCTGCAACGCTCCCGTTTCGCTTCCAAATACCAGCTGCCTTCTAGACGGTGCGCTGGGTCGCTCCCAGTGGAGATACCGGCCGTCTCCTCCTTTTAATAAGAGATGCTTAATGATTGTTCCTCATTGATGGATAGGAAATTGCAGAATTCAGAGGAACTCAGACTTTATGTCTCAGCTGACGAGGAAATCAGATTCCCCATATACACTAATGTCCTAGTCACAATTATTTATATGCCGAACGGAGCCAGAAATGCCATGTTCCATGGCGAATCTGTGATCTGATTTTCAATGCTGCCATCTCCAGCGAAGGGGAAACAGCTTCCACACAGAGGGAAAAGCCTGAAATACATCTGTGTTTCACCTACACTGAAAACCTGCCGTGTAGACAACCTAAAGACAGATTATGACTTCTATTTAAAAAAAAATTAATAAATAAATCTTTTATTTCAATAGTTTTCCAGCATTGCACTGCCTCAGAGGACAGGCCTATGCTGGGCTGCAGAAGAAGCTGAGCCCTAAATAGCCGTCAGACCCCTTGCTGCAGCGCGTACCTCTCCTGGGGGCTGCCGCGTGGGCTGCAGTCCCGTTTTCTCTCTGCTCTGTTGATCTCTGCACCTCTGATCTCTTTAGGTGACCGTGCAAGAGCACTCTGTATGGGAACTGCAACACGGGGTCAAGCTAAAACCCATTGCTTAAAGAGAGCCCGATTCCATTCTCTGCCACGCGTGCGTGCAAAAAGCACGGTGTATGCACTGAAAAGCAGAAATATGGAAAAAACATGAAAAGAAGAGTACATTGTTATCGCCTCCATGGTTCACATTAGCGTGACAGTGAAAAAACAACCATAATTGGTTGAGGTTTGGCTGTGGGATATCTATAACATAGAAAGAGCTCTGCTATTCAGGTTCAGTGATCTGTCCAGTGAACCCCTTGATGAAATTGGATATTAGGAAACTTTTTTTCACGGAAAGGGTTATTAAACACTGGAAGAGGCTGCCCAGGGAGGGGGTGGATTCGCCATCCCTGGAGGTGTTTATAAAAAGGGCAGATGTGGTACTTGGGGACATGGTTTAGAAGTGGTTTTGTCCGGGTAGGTTAATGGTTGGATTTGATGATCTTAAAGGTCCCTTCCAACCTCAGCAAGTCTATGATTCTAAATCCTCTGCCAGTTTTAAAACCAATGTTCATTAGCGAAAAATAGCCCTTCTGCTCACCCTGGTCTCACAACGGAGGGAGAGAAAATGTCATACTCTGGACATTATAATAGCACGTAATAAAACCTTGGTGCTCTCCGCCTTCCTTTGCTAAATAAGCTAATTTGCTGCAGCAAAATGTTGTACGTATGGTACAGTACCTGAAATTAAGAAGCCAACTGGAAAACCCGAATGACTTTTGTGAGCAGGAAAGAGCGGTCAGGACATACAGCTGGGGTGACATTCACAGCACCTCGGACAGATGGTGCGAGCACCCCTGCACCACGAAGATAAAGTTTTATACAGATTATCTTTCCATTCCTTTCCTCACCTCCTTCTCCTTCTCGTTAAGTTTCTCTGTCCCCGGGAGACCCGTGAGGTTCAGCGGTGGGGCACTCCGTCTACCTGCAGAGAGGAGAGAGGAAAACCCTAAAGAACTCTGAGCATTTTGGCAGTGGCTGTTCCTTAGGTGTGTTACCACAGAGGGATGGTAACCCGGTATGATCCAAGTGTTTATAGACAGGCTTATTTGGGGCTTAACATAAAAACTGTGCTGATTTGATAAAAGATATGATTTTGCAACTGCCGCGGTTGAGCGCTGTGCTTGCAGGAGGAGTCTCGCGCTGTTAGCGCTGGCTCCCTGGCGCTCAGGAGGAAGGGACAGACAACGGCGTCCTCTCGAGTTGGCGTTAAGCTGAACTGCCCCTCCTGCCCAAACCGCCCCTTCCCGCGGGCTGAGGGGGGATGTGCCGGGGGTGCGCAGCGTGCGGGATTGCCTCCCAGCAGGCGTGAGCGCAGCACCCTGCCGGGATGCCCGGGTTAGTTATCGGTGTGATTAGCGGGCAGTTTCGCCGGCGTTACAGACAGCTTCAGGAAGCAGTTTTCTTTAAACGCCTTTAAATATGATGCGGATATTGTAAAGCAAATGCAGTTTGCGGATTTATTTTGGTCTGTTATGATGAACAGCACTGGAAGAAATGTCTGTCGCAAGGCAGTCTGAGAGTTCTCACTCGCTATTGTTTATAACTGCTGAACTTTAACTGGTGCAGCTTAAACTTTTACGAGGGCTGTTTACTTGCAGGTTTGTGTGTTATTTTTTTCCTAATAGTTTTTTGGTTTTCTTTTAACTTCCAGAGCTCAAAACAAAGCTAGGCTTATTTATTTACATTTTTAGAAAGTCTGTTGCCCCTGTGCCGTGGGTTGCATATTTAGCACTGTTAAGAGATAGGTCTCTTTATCCCAGGACAGATTTCCCAAATTTGGCAAAGTGATGAGATCCTGGGAAATCCACAGCTCCGTTTTCCCAAGGACTGGGCTGGCCGCTGCTCCAGACCCTGCCCTGTCCAGGTCCTGCCTCTGGGACTGGGGAGCATCTCTCTCTTTCTCCCGTGTAGGAGACAGGCGGGAGCCCGGCTGGGTGAGGGGAGCCTGATCGGAGAGCGAGCTGAAGGGCTAGAGAGAAGCTGGACTAGTGTGTCTCTGGGAAAGGAAGTTCTTTCCCAGCGCTGCTCCCTCTTTCTATGGCCTGGACCGAGCGTGCTATGGCGAGACATGACAGAATTTGGTTTTACTCTTTTATAAACCCAGGAAATAACACACACATACACACTACATTAAAGAAAACACATTACGGCTGCAAAGTCAAGATCTCAAAATCTAGACGTAAAGTTAAGCAACACTAATTTGCCCTCTTGTATATTCAGTATGATGCAGCCTTTAATTATATAGACACGTGGCAGTTTTTCCGCACTATCCTTGCCTTATTCAGTATGCAGGATGTTTGCTTAATTGCCAACTATATGGTATTTTGTTTGGGTTTTGTTCAACATGTGATGCTGGTTGTAAACACTGCATGCTATCTGAGCTCCATAAGCAAAACAATTCGTGTTCTCTTGGGCTCTTCTCCTTCACTGCCCACTGAATACTTGACAAAAAATTAGTTTCATTCTTCATACTAGTCCTTCAGCTGAGGGGATACCGTCCCCATTGCATGGATTCTGGATGCCCAGCCTGAGATACACAATGCTGTTCTCTCTCCAAAACACCAATCATCTTAGCTATCACCAAATACGTTTAAAACATAGCGCGTGTTGACTTCTGCACGGACTAATTGCTCGGTATTCTGACCCAAATTTCCAGGGCTTCTGGCAGAATAGAGGAAGGACATATAGTCTCAGTGGCCACCTCTGACAAGTTTGGTTCAAGTGGTTTATTCGCATCCACGTAAAAACTGGATGTAGAGACAGAGCTAGAAGCCAGTTTCCCCAGCAACAGCTTTATAGTAAAACTTTACCCTACTCTCATTCATCGCATGCCATCCTGTGCCCTCAGCAAATGAGATGGGATTTTACAGAGCTCTTGTTCACAGGGCCTTGAGTGGTCCCTGACTCTGTCCTTACCGGGCACTGAGAGAAGTAGGGGCCCTCTTGGTGGAAAAAAAGGTAATTTGTGATTATGGAATTAAAGAATATAAAAACATACTCACAGAAGAGGAAAGCTAAAGTTGCAGAGGCAACCTGTATCATCTCATCCTGTCACTCTGGAGCGCTTGATGCTGCAAGCACTGCCTGCTTCTCAGGCAACTGTTTTTTGGTGTTCTGCCCTCCCAAACCTGCTTTCTCTCAGGTTCCTATTGCTATCGTATGTGCTATACAGCTTCATTAAAAAAAAAAAATATGGATGAGCTTTATCTTTTAAAGATAAAATTTTGTTCTCATGTGAAAATTCTTTCCTGCCTTGTTAATGTAGCTTTAGGATGCATTTTCCATCTGTAGCCAGAGAAATCTAGAAATTCAGCAAAAGAACCCTACAGGATTTGCACGTGGAACGAGTTGCAGATTGAGGTAATGTTGACTTGAGCAGTGCTAAACCATGGGGCCTGAGGACTGACACTCTGGCACTCAGGCAACAGAGTCACTCTCCAACTGGCTGTCAGAGTGGTGTTACTGGTGTGCGGCTGGCTTTTTATCACAGACCAGCCAAATCTAGTAGTTACCTGAATTTGAAGGAACTGGTACCGTGGGACTCAGGCCGGAATCACTGAAAAGAAAGGAAATTTTCAAATTGCTTTCATTTCTTTTTTTTTTTTTTTTTTTTAAAGAATTTTTGCATATATTGGCCCTGAAACTACTTTTTACCCGACTTCTAATAATATACAATTCAACTTGCATAAGACAGGCCATGATCTGAAGTCAACAGGATTTCTAAATATTTAGCACTTCCAGATTGAAGACCAGGTCTGAAACCTGTGGGGTTTTTTTGTTTGTTTTTTTTTTTTTAAAAAAAAAGGGGATGGTGGGGGACAAAATAAAAAATTCAGAGGAGACTGACTGGGGAAATTCCAAATCATCTGCTCAGAGCCTATAGCGTACAGGATGCACTTCCTTTGCATTGCGGCTTCCTCCTTGAAACGAAGTGCTTGGGCAGGGTGACTACACATTAATAATGCTGCTACATCTAAAATCATCTGAAACATTTCAAGTGGCATCTGTGCCCTCATTAATACCCATAAGGACCTTATTTTCCTCCACGACTTTATTAACAGCAGTTAAGTTCCTCAAATATGAAATTGAGACCGTACTAGTCATTTTCTTCTCTGCACTTCAACAAGTACTATTGCTGTTATCCAGTTTCTCGCCCTTCTGAATTTTGCAGACTGTTCCTACTGTAATAAATCGGGAATGCATTTGTTATTGCCAGGCAGAAAAAAATGCGTTGGATGCACCTGAGTAAAGCACAGGTATGCAAAATGCGCGGTCTTACTGTAACCGTACATATCAGCTTGTCGGCTGAGCCACTGCTGGCAGGCGCTGCTGTCCTGGATGTACTGCAGCACTTCAGACAGCATGGTGCGCTTCAGCCGTTCCTCATCTCTCGTCTTCTTAAGGTGATCGTATGTTCTGGCACCTACGGCAAACGGAGACCACGTTCTCACCAGCTGCCTCGGTCAAAATTTTCAGACTGTTGTTTTTCCACTTTAGGAAATAAGTGAGAAACTGTTCCCTAGCCCTGGACCAGACTCTGCTATTCTCCCTCATGACAACTACTTGGCACGGGAACGGATTAGATTCCACCCTGCACCCCTCCCCCATTAATTTCAGGCCAAAACCAAACAAAAAAGGCTGCCATGATCCAATTCCAGGATAAAACAGGCCATTTCCTTTATGTAGAGGTCTTAGCCCTCTCTCCACGTATCACATTTGCCGGTCACCAGTGAAAGTGTCCAGAGATAAAGCGCTGGAGACCACTGTGCCATGACATACATTTATTTTTTTTCCTGAATCTTTTGCAAAGTGGTGACTGAAGCAGAGCTCTGCTAGACAGCGCGTTCTCCGAGCTGATGGCTCAAACTAGCCTTAAAAAAGCACAGCTGGACTGAAGCAGTACTGCTAAAGCCCTGCTCAGTTAAAGAGCTAGGCAAACACATTTCAAAAATAAGTGTCTTTTTATTCAACACATCCTCAGTGTTGTAAAATCATCCTTCCACACCCTGATGAATGGGAACGGGCTGAATAATGCATCAGG